CCCTGATCGATCCCTTTATCTCCTACTCTCCTCTCCTTGTTTCTATCCACATCTCTCTCTCTCTCTCTCTCTCTCTCTCTCTCTCTCTCTCTCTTTCTACGTAACAGCTATCCAGTACTTACCACACGTACGTATACTTTCACACATATTCACTAAGGTCGATACCAGTCAATGGCACTTCGAAACACGTTACGTTCACATGTCCGTGACTTTCGACGCTTCACTAATTTAGGTCCAATGGCTACAATTCGAGATCCTATAGTAAACCCATTTCAACGCACCTTTACCCCCACTAGGTTTACATTGATACATAAATGTTAGTACATAGGTTGGTAATAATCATTTAGTTTTGACGATTTGTCTACTTCTACATCTTTATTTTTTCGTAATTTTGTTTTGCATCGAATTATAAATTAAGACATTATTTTTGAATTATTTAAGTCTATAAGGATATTTATTTGACAATTTGTTTACTTACATGGTTATTTTTCAATACATTTATTTTATTTTGTCATTTAATTGTAAATTAAAAATTCTCATCTATTTATTTTGTGATCAAGTATCTGTTTTTATGATATTTGTATTATATTTATTCTTTTCTTTTTTTTTTTGTTTTTTTTTTTTCTTTTTCTTTCTCTTGGCATTGAATTACACGTTAAATTATTATTCATCGATATTTTTTAATATTATATAGATGACTATATTAATCAACACCTCGGTGTATTGTTCGAAAATTTCATTAATATTCATGAGAAACGTGCGAGCAATTTCGTTGTAATTCTGTCTCTTTTATTAAGATTTAAGTATCATTTTTTTAGGGGGGGGGGAACAATAAAAAATAGATTGATTAAGAAAATTTTTTTTATTTTTTTCAATGACAATTTATCGTTGAATTGTTTATAAAAAAAAAATGTGCCGTTCTATCCTTAATACTTTCTTTTTTTTTTTTGTTTTTTTAAATTGATAAGATTTATTGGAACGAACTTATTAATAGGAGATGTTACTTGAAATGTGCAATTAGGATTCTGATTACTTTCTTACAAGGATAAGGAATTACTTGAACTAATATCATTATCCTTGTCTTATATAAACGCAATCTGCGTTACCGCGACGCATCGTTAACATGGCTGATCAGGGTGATTTGGTAACAAACGAACCGTACACATTATATTATTCATCGTTCACTCGTCCTTAACAAAGTTTAATCAACTACTCTCAATCTCTTCTTAATTAAACAACAATTTGAAAAGTTTATCAAAATGACAAATGAAAAGATATTTTCGAAAATTCAAATTTCAATAAAATCTAATCTTGATGCAAACGAATCTTGATGCATTTTTATATTACTCATTATTCATACTTCTTTAACAACATTTATTTAATTTAATATTCATTTAATTTCTCTTTTTGATGAGAATATAAAAGACGTTCTACATAAGTTCCATAAATTAAAATTGACTTTAATTCACAAAAAATCAAATTTAAATGAAATCCAATTTTGATATAAACGAACCGTAAACATTATATTATTCATTGTCTTTGACATTTAATTAAGTACTCAATTTTCTTCGCGATTATATTACATGCATGAGATTTTTAATAAAACAAATTGTTAGAAAATATTATAAAATTTATTTCGAATTAAAAAAAAAAAACCGAAATGAAATGCAAAGCGGATTAAAACGATCCTTTAAATATCAAATTATTAATCGTTCAATTATCCTTAAAAAATGTTTAATTACCTACTTAATTTTTTTTAAATATTATACAACATACATACAAAAAAATTGGAAATAAATATTTTAAATACAATTAGAGATATTTTATTATTAATATAATGTTGATTAAAAATAATATTAAATATATTTCAATAAATAAAAATGAATCATCTCAACAAACAATCTCATTTTCAAAAAAAGAAGAAAAAAGAATATTAAAGAAAAGAAAAAGAGATGCAATCACGCTTATTCTATGGGTGTCCTTGGTATTATCGTAAAGAAAGCAAGCGTCGAAAACGTTGAGCTTAAGAGCAGAATATACGAGGAAATTTTACCCCGTTTCCTTTTCTCAGAGAAAAAGCTCTACGCTATCATAGGATTTTCTCAGGACCAATGTCACTGATTAGTCCGCGAAAAGGGGGAAAAAGGATATCTGTAAGAACGTAAGTAAGAATGAAATGGTGTTGTCAGTAAAAAAAAATCCTCGTGTAAGTATTACGAAAAAAATAAGAAGAAGAAGTATGGAATGATTTCAGAATGAATGATTGGAATGTCAGAAGGGTGGTAAAAGGTAGATAAGAAATGAAACAAGAAATCATATGGCTATCCAACGAAACTGTTAGATCTTCGGAAGTGAATTGAAGGTTTCCGGGAGAAGAATGAATGATAACACGTATCGTGTGTCATAAGAAATGAATCACGTGACAATGTTGTATGTCAAAAATGCAGTCATGGTTAGTTAGTAACACCTTAAAGGTGGTACTTTTGCCATTTGTACCAGCATCGAAGAGCTTTAGAATCACGGAAGAGGCAGCCGTTATTGATCGACAAAGCTGGCAAATAAAGGGGCTGAAGGGAAAGAGGTTAAAGGGAAAAAGGAAGATAGGAAGTAAGGGGTTGGTTGGAGGAGGAGTAGTTGGAAGAAGAGGAAGGCCACTTAGAGAATCATTGCAAGCCGAAACTCTCTCTGTCTCTCTCTCTCTCTCTCTCTCTTTCTATTTCTCACTCGGTTTTTCCCTCTTGATCATCCCTTTCCCTTCTTCACTATATACGTTTGCAAGCAAAGTCTTCTTTGCTACTATAAACCTCGCCAAGCGGAAAACCCTACTCGAACACTCGCGACAAATTACGAAAAGGAAAACTGGTGAAAGTGTTGAAATTAGTTGATTTGTTTATATTTTTTTATTTTTCTATTTTGACATGCGTGGTGTTAATTTATTTTTCATTTATTTATTTTGTTTTTATTTTTAACCCTTTGGCTATATTTTACGTATCAGTACGTCATACATTTGTTTGGGAAAAGATTCACATGACGTTCTGATACGCCATTGAAACTGAGACGAGATTTAATTAATTCATTCTGGTTTATTTCAAAGTTATTTTTTAATAAATGTATTTACCCAAAGGGTTAATTTAATAATTTTTTCCTTTCTCTCTCTCTCTCTCTCTCTCTTTAATATTATTTATATTATTATTTATTAATTTTTTTTTTAATAAATAATCGATAAACACAAGTTTTGTTCCCATTTATTTCTTTTTTTATTGTGCTGGATGATAATTTTATGACATTAATATTACAAATGAATTTAACCGGATCAATGTTTGAAAAGAGACAGAATGGTAGGAAGCAAAAGAGAGAGAGAGAGAGAGAGGAACATGGAAAATTCTAAAAATTCTATTTAATTTCATTTTCTTGACATTGAGGGCGATTAAGTATAACTTAATTATGGTTATCTACCGTAACGAATCAGCAGACAGATTATGGACGAAATGCGATTAAAGCGGTCTCCGCAAGCGCCTCGTACACTGACCTCGTAAATGTCATCGTAAATCTGATCGTTAAATTTCAAGTTATAGGAGTGTGAAAGGTCTAAAAAGTCGTAATCCAAATAGCTGTGTGAGCTTGCGTGGTCTCGTCCATCGTTCGTATAGTCTAATGGATGCTAACAAATCGATGAGAGTTTTGATGATCGTACGATAAAACAAACCCCGTCGATGGTTCTCTAGGTATATGCGTGTTCTCGTATTCTACCCACACCTATAACCAATTTTTTTCGATTATAAAATTCTACTCGATGCTAAAAATTCTTTATTTCTTCTCTTATTTGTTTTTTCTTTTTTTTTTCTTTTTCGTTTTTATTGGATTCCTTTGACGCTTATTATATTGACGATAACTGAAAAATATTTTCAAATAAAAAAAAAATATTAGTTAAAAATTTGATTAGCTATTATCGAATTTTTAATTAACACTTGGCAAGCGAGTATATTTCGTACTCAAGTTACGCGTGCAGCGAACGTTTTTTCGTGAATTGCGCGAGAGTTTGGTCAACAATTCCTTGTATCTTATTTTTTCGTCTTAATCGAATTATGTATTACTTATGCATTGAAAAATGTACAATTTATATTATACATAGATAAGTACTTTGTCCACTTCACTGTTTTATAATTATACGTTATTCGCTAACCACCTCAAATCTATCAAATACGTATTTTTACGTGACCCGCACTCCAATGATAAACTGCGAAAAACGTAAAAATACGTTGCCCGCATGCTAATTGTTATACAAATTTTAGAATGATAATATTCTAATTAAAGATAAAATATTAGAGATATATAGTATTTACAAAATTATTATTATTATTAAATTGAATGAAAACATTTAAATCGTTTTAAATATAATTACACTCTTACTGGTAGTAGTAGCAGTAGTGAATAATATTATTTTGCAAATTCTGCAAAACCACATGCATTTAGGGGATTGAGTAAAGCTCTTGACTAGAGTCATTTTTGAGAAAAGGGATGGAAAAAGCAAAGAAAGTGGAGATGAGTTTGAAGATAAAACGAGTAAACAGAAGTGAGGAAAAGCTCGACACGAAATGGTCCGTTTCACGACTCTTCCACACTGACCTTAGGATACACGAGTGTCATTAACGTTGCCCGCTGAAACATCCAACCTCATCCTACCATCGCGTCTGGTTATTTATTTCAGCTTTTAACAACAACGATAACAACAGTGGCTGGGCCCTGTTGTGCAACAAAAACCTACCGGCAGCAAGCGTGACGTGGTTCAACCACGCGAATCTGATTTGCTGACATAGCGTGTAAGTGAGAAAGATAGAGAGCTAGAGAGAGAGAGAGAGAGAGAGAGAGAGAGAGAGAGAGAGAGAGACAGAAAAAAAACAGAGATAGAAATAGGTTTGTCGTTAAAACGATACCCGTGAGAGATATATCCTCGAGCTTTCGATAACGATTTTCAAAAACTCGATCGTTCGATCACTCACCGTCATTGTAGATATCCACCAACGATACATCTCGAACAGTTCGATGATGTTCCAAGGTCGTATGTATATCTGAACTTTTCCACCGTTGTCGTCCTGAAAGAAGACAAAGTGAAATTACAATGCTGTGACCGATCGATTGTTACACTATGATCGAAACATTTAACTTCTTTCAATTCTGTAAAAAAAAAAATAAAATAAAATGACACTTTAGCACTTGGCATGCGGGCAACGTATTTTTACGTTGTCTGTCACTGGAGCGCGGGTCGCGTAAAAATACGTATTTAGTAGATTTGTTGTGTAATGCTGGTAACGTATAATTATTATACAGTGAAGTGTACAAAGTGCTATGTATATGATGAATTGTGCATATTTCAATGCATATGTAGTATATAAATCGAATAAAACATTAAAATTAAGATAAAAGAAATTTTTGACCAAACTCCCGCGCAATTTATGAAAAAACACTCGCTGCACACGTAACTTGACGCATGCCAAGTGGTAACGTGAATTTTTATCAATTGAATCGACAACAAGATAAACAATTAATTATTATAATTTATTATATTTTATCTTTTAATACTTTCTTTTTATTTCTTTATTCTTTTCTTTCTTTTTTGTTAAGAAATGACTTTCATCTTGTCTTGGACATTTTTTTGTTTCTTATGGAAAAAACAAGAGCTGCGAAGAACGTTAGGGAAGAAGGGAAAATGTGGGCGTTTAAAGAATCGCTTTCTCGATAAAAAGTTCCTAATGAAACCGAGCGATATTTTTCATCGAGGGGTGGAAGTCACGCAACTCGATACCGTTTCGTTCACATCATCCCTCAGGTACATCATTCCCCCTAGGGATAGCGTTTCGTTAGCGTGACGTAATACAGACACCAAACGAGCCAGTAATTTTAACGCGAAAACTGACCGAGATTCTCAGACAAGTGTGAAATTTCAACATTTCACTTATAAACTCGTAAGACTTTGGTTGTATAGTTAAAGCTTCGCATAACACGGATTTTTTTTTTTATCTATCTCTTTCTTTCTTCCTAATAGGCACTCGAATTCTTTTTCTACAACGTAAGGATTAATAGCACGAAATAAGATGGAAAATGTGTTATAAAAAAAATTGTTAAACTTTTCGTTTTGTTTCCAGACGAGAATCTTGAGAGATAAAAAATTTCATAAAAAAAAAAAGAAAAGAAAAGAACAAAAATATTCTCAGAAAGAAAGAAAGGAAAGTAAAAGAGAAAGAAAGAGAAAGATTTATAGGTCGGTATTTTATTTCACTCGGTTGGCATTTTATTTCGTTGATTAATGCGAATTGTAATAGTTGCGTTATTTTGAAAAGACGAGGAAAAATGGTAAGATAAATTGAACGATGGATGAGTGGAAACTCTTTCCATCGATGAACGTTCTGAAAAATTCGAAAGAAACTTTTCATTGTTTTATAAATAGTTCCAATTTACTTTTTCCCCCTCTTTCACCTTCTCTTTGGTATATCTTATTTTCAAAAGTATTTATATTTATCGAAGAGTGACGATGAACGAGTAATATTTCATCGAATATACGCTAAATGATAAATCGCTTGAAGGAGTGGGGGACTGGGCTGGGCTGGGGTGGTAAAAGAAGGAAAAAGAAAAATAGAGAAGAGAGAAAAACTTTTCGTTCGTGTCTCCAAAATTTAACGTTAGCTATCGAGAGTCGTTTTATTGCGAAACACGAAGCCAGAAGAGTACGATATTACCTAGGGGCAATAACGATAAGTGAAAAAAAAAAGTTCTACGGGGGTCTCGTCGTAGTTGTCTTTACTACACACGTACTACCAGGTATATACCTCTTTTCGTGCATGCAAGTCGTAGAAATTATCCAAAGTCGGTAGGATTATATGAAAACCGTTTGTCCCGAGTTTAACGATGTTCAAGTGTCGACGCTTCTCCAATAGTTACACAACTTCGTGCGTCTCATAAATGCGAACCGCGGTGCAATTTGAGGATAATTACATTCGCAGATGACAGAGGAGAAAATTACTTGCGTTATGAGTAGAAGGGACTAGAGTAGATTGCACGAGAAAATGTAAATTTATAAAAGCCAATGGAACACCGTGCTTTCTCTCTATACTATACCCTCTTTTCTCTACATAAGGTAAAGTGAAAATTTTAATTACATTTGCGGTAGGAAAAGGAAAAGTAACTTACTGGTTAAACGATACAAATACGTGTTGCGATACGACGTTTTAAAACTGTGTATTACACGTGAAAAATATTACGCATTTAACTATACATACACATGGATATATGTGTACATAATGTACGTATATATGTTAGTATAAGACGTATATATACATATACTTATATGTATATATAATGTTATTTCCTTTTTTTCGATTAAAATCCGTGTACTCAAAGAATCGTACGAGTAATTTCGACCAAAGAACTTCAGTCGAAAAGGAATCCTTATTGCTCTTTCTTTTACTAAAACGAGAAACGTCGGGTAAGCAAACTACTAATTCGTTGAAACGTACGATTTGTAGCTTCGCTTCTTTTCTATCGATTCTAGGGAAGAATCGAATCGCGAGATTCTATCAAAGCATCGATAAACGAGTTTCGAAGAAATTGAATTCCTTCGGTATAATTGTATAGGTTGTTATCCTTTTTAAAGCTTCGACGTTCGTAAAACTCTTCGTGTATAATAATAATAATAAAAAAGAAAAACTCTCTTACTCTCTCTCACACACATACACATATTAATTTTTCCTTTTTTCATATTAAATGTACGAATAAATCTATGGGAATTTTTAAAAAGGTTCTTTTTAACTTTTACCAAAACTCTTCAATTTTTAGTCCAAGCTTCAACTCGGATAACTACATTTTTATTGGTGACTATGAACTGTCGTTTTATTCAGTTTCACATGCAACGGTATACTCTTATAGAAAAGCTTTATTGTCGAACTTCGAATATAAACTGCTTCTCTCGATCTCGTCTCACTCCACAACCACCCCCACCCATTCTTACCAGTGACTTGGTATTTTCTCTCGACCTATTACTTATCCCCCTTTTTATTGTTTCCTTTCATGTCTATTCCCTATCGAAATTGTATAAATCCATAATTCTTTAACAACTAATAAACTACTCTCGATACTTTCTTTTTTTTTTTGAAGTGAAAACTTCTTTAGAATCAGGGTAATTTAAAAATCGTGAAACGGAAGAACGTGAAGCTGAAAAACGTGAAATCGATGAAAATGATTAATTAATTAATAAAATTCAATATATAATTTATTTCAATATATTTAATTTTATATATAATTTCTATATAATTCTTTATATATTTTATTCTATATATTAATTAATAAATTAATAAAATTCTATACATAAAAATTCAGTGTAACAAAATGTTTGTCCACTAATAATTCCGAAACTACTCAACTTATTTTAATGAAATTTATTTCATTTCATTTCACGTGATTTTTTCCAACTTAGCACATAGCGCAATTTTTATCGCGATTTTTTTTTTATTATTTTTATTACTAATTTAAAAATTTTTATTTAGAGGTTATCTAGGTTCTGTAAGGTTCTTTCAATAGATGGCGCTGTATTACAATTCAATTGTTTCGATATATTCATGTCTCGAAGCTTAGTTTTCTTTGAAGGTTTCACTTCTATCGTGTGTTTTTTTTTTTATTTCTTTCAGAACAAATTAATGATGTACACACATACTTTGTTCGTAAATATAAAATCCTTTTTATATACAAGTGTTAATCCTTTAAGTGTTTACTCCTATTAATTCCCTTTTTCAATTTCACATGAATGTACAGAAAATGAGAGAAAGAAATTAAATTAAAAGTAAATCTATTTATGTATATATATATGTGAAAAATTTAGCGAGAAAAAAATATTCGTTTCGTTAACGATTTCTTCGAGATACTTATTTGAAAATATATTTTTAGATTAAGTCGATGTTATAAAATGTTTTATATATCTCTTGATGGTTAAAAGTTGCATAAAATATTTATTATTCGTCTATAATCGTTCAATGGTTCCCAAATGTACGGAAATTCTCAAGAGAACATAAGTTTATTAGACAGTACGAGTTTCACGATGTAGAAACTACGCCTAATATAGCTTTGTAAACCCAAAGGAGTATTTTAACCGAGTCATTTCGTTCCTCTAACTCTTCGACAAGTTTTCCGATACGTTCTTTTAACTAATTTAAGTGTATACGGGACTACAGTAAATGAAATTTTGAACGAAATTAAAAAGAACAAATTTATTCTTGTTTTTTTTTTTTCTTAATAATATATAAATCGAAATATAGGAAGAAGAAGCTTTATTGTTTTACTCGTTTAATCCAAAATTTCTTGCTCTTTAATCGACGAGAGAGAATAATAATGATTCAGAATGGAAGGAATAAATTCATTTGTTACGGTGTATTATTAAAGCACTGTGTGCAATAAATTGAAATGATTACTTTGCGAACAAGAAATGAAATTCATTTGTAACACTGTTATTAAGCTATTCTGTCTTCCTAATTGTTCACAGTCAAGCTTGGAGATTTCCTTTCATGAACTCGTCAAGTCATGAATTAAAATAATATATCACTTTTGGATTCTCTTTATCTAAGAATTTTAAGATCTAGTTTTGAAAATGATATTACAATAACCCCATCTATGTTAAATATTTTTACATATGTTACATTTTTAATGTTTTTAAAGTGTTTATTGTAATCTCGTAATTCTTCCTTTTTTTTTTTTAAATTATTTTGACATATTATTTTTCAGTATACTAAAATAAATTTTAATTATTATAATTTTTTTTTTTTTTAGATGCACACGATTTTTACATATGTTACATTTTTAATCTTTTTAAAGTGTTAATTGTAATCTTTTAATTTTTTCTATTTTTAAAATAATTTTGAGATATTATTTTTCAGTATACTAAAATAGAATTTATTTATTTCGATTTTTTTTTTTTTTTTAAATACAAACGATTATAAAATTAAATAATTTTTTATATATACTTAGAACATAAAAAGATTCTTGTAAAAAAATCATTTTATTTGTAAAAAGAATTATGTATGCAAATTAATTAAAAACATGACGGAAATAT